GGGGGGGGGGGGGGGGGGGGGGGGGGGGGGGGGCGGCGACGACAATGGCGTCGGAGGTAGCCAAACTGACGGCAGAGAACGCCTCGCTCAAGAAAGAACTGCACAGAGCTCGAGCAGAGATTAAGAGACTAACCAAAGAAGCCCGCGGCGGCAACGCCGGGATACAGGCACCTGGCGGCAGTGGCAGCATCGATGGAGGGGGAGGGGTCGCCACCAGTGCGAGCACGGGGGCGTTGGAGGATGGTAGACAAAAGGGCGTCGACGGAGTGAACGCTCCACAGGTTGACGGGGGTGGGAGAAAAGGGAGGAAGTCACGTTCCCCTCGAGAATCAAGGAGTCGGAGGAAAATCAACGACGCCATCGACACAGCTAGGGTCACAGATGCCGTTGTGGAAGCTGCAGTCGGGGGTGGGTTGGCAGATCCCTTAAGACCAGACTCTGGGCGTTCTAACGAGGTTGGGTAGAATGGGTGATGCAACCATAAATGTAACGATGCATAATAAACTGTTCCGTTGTGATTACGGAGTATTCTTCACCCTGCATTTTCTGTGTTCGGCTGAGCGGAACGCCTTGCTATACCCTCACATGTTCCATAGCGATGATCGGCCTGTACTACGTTTGTTAACCTTTCCCATCTGCAACTGGAAATCAGGTAGAGTTGCAGTGGACATTTCCTCACTCTAGTTGAAACGCTATGCCGTGCTCCGCCATTTCGCTACACTCGAACAAACCCACCCTTGATGAAAGCAGTGCGCACTGTTTTGTTTCTTGGCGGATAGCTAGAGGCACTTGTTGACACTGAAAAACGCCGAACCCAGGCCTTGCATTGGAAAAAACTCTCAACATGGTAATTGTGTGGATGGTTTAGGTTAACAGCAGTGACGGCGTCGTGTCGACAACAGCTGAAACAGGGTGGTGCCGCGACAAGGGGGACGTTCGCGTGGTTTTCGACGATAACCCCACCGACGACAGCCAGTAAAGTGGGGGGCTGTAAAGAAGCAACACGGCCGCTAGTGAATAGCACAACCGACTGCTCACAATAGAGCAAGTATGGCCCGCAAATATTGAACTGAAATGTGATTCCTTTGATCGGTGAAGTTAAGACCCATGGACATGATCCCAATCCAATCACCAAAACGATCTCACTTTCCGGAATACATCAAGCTGTCCATGGCAGCACCATTTCCCCGGCATGATCCAATGATGCCCCCCCCTCCTGTAGTATGCGTAGCACTGAAAATGTCAGCGAGCCTTGTGCACCCAACCGGCAACCATGCCATCGAATATATCCAGTCCCGCAACTGGTGCCGTGCGTACCTCAACACGTGCTACAATACTTGCAACGCGGAACCAGCTGCTCTAGGCTATTCCTGCATGTTGGGTTGGTTCCTGTTGTATGCAATTCGGAAATCGGTGATGAAATCATGCAAACCCCCCACCCACAGCAGGAATGGGTACAAAAGTGGTCACCAATAAAACCTAAATAACCCAGGCCCGCGGATGTGCCACAGTTGCAGCACCCAAGGTAGCATAACTTCGCAAAAAACAAATAGTGGGTTGGCTGGGAAGCCCTTTGCCGCAGCACCAGTTCCTCGGCAATTCAACAGGGCTCTCGCTCGGTCTCGCTTCCTTTAATCCAAGAGTGCGAGCCACATGACCCTCGATGTACATTATCGCATTGCAACCCTATTCTTTGACTTTACAAGAACCGCGCCCAATACCTCCTGTTAAAGCCTAGCCGACCCGGCTGTTTATCGACACAAATGGTAACCCCCACCGCACTTTGTTTTTCAAGTTTCAAATATGAACACACGGCTCCGATCCCCATACGTATCTAGACTCCTACCTTTTGATCCGATGTAAAATAGAAGAAAGAACATAACGGCTACGACCGCCACATGGATCAAACCAATGTATTGCTTGTCTCAGACCTCCGCATGGACGTCAACATCTACCTTGTTTTAGCACTGGCATCTTTAAATACTACTCGTATGCACTACTGAAATGGGTCATGCGACGGTGACCTGAAACAGACTGTAGTTGGCCTCACCTCTGTCGCTACAACGCCAACAGAGAGAGGCCCAAGTTTGGCAAAGCTTGTATCAACCCAAGTTGGCATCATGGCATCGGCCTTTCTCGCTCTTGGCACCGAAGAAACAACAGGCGAGGGGCACGTCCTGGGTTCAAGGCCTGAAATTCGACGGGTGATACAGGTCGCGGGTTGTTGGTGGGGACATGTTGGTAGCGGGAACGTTCGGCATTCAAAGTTTCACGATGAATGGGGTGTATCAAAACTTGATGAAAAAGAGGTATGCTTTACAACAGACGCGACGGAACTAGTTTAACGCGCCATCAAATGGGATTGAAATCTCCGACAAAGACTGCTCGTCCATCCAAGCCTCAAAGCGTAATCCTTCTATGCATACGCTGGCGCGGCAACGAGGGTTGTGTGCTGTTGGGAGGGTGCCGTTCAGCAAGGAAGGCAGGTCATCTGAACTCCTCCTCGTAAATACAACGCAATGTTCGTGCTTCAAAAACTCCTCTCCGAAATCCTTGTCGTTCTGTCGCTGTCAATGTTTTCGGCAGTCTACCTCGCGAACGGCGTCGATTCAGCTCTTCGGTCTTTGAGAAAAGTACAGAAATGCAGCGGTCATGGGAGGTGTCTGCGGATCGCCCATCTGTTTCGCCGGAGTCGGGGTTTGATTTTGGTCGTTGTGACAAGGTCCGCCAATTTCGCGCAAGATTCCAGAGGCGGCTTTGTCCAACGCAATGGTTGACGGCAATGTTCCTGTGGAACCTGTAGACAACCTCTAGAGTTCAAGTTTGTCGCCCGAGGCACCGCAGGGGGGCGGTCGAGGATGGCGGAGGAAATATTTACCCCGATCGATAGAACGCGTTCTTTCGAAACTACTGGTTCCTGGTTCGGACCCGGCTTCCTGCTGTACAATTGTTTCTGCACCGCTCCGAACCTACGGTCTGACGTCATGCGCTCACAACACGACTTTCTGCCTGCTAGCCCTATCCCTAAACCCAACACAAACAACCCGACCCGAAGCCAACACTGGTAAGCGCTAGGTTGCTGAATGGTAAAAAGCTAGGTTGCTGTCAGGTAAGCCGATGGCGGGACAGGTGAAACGCTGTTGAGGTGGCTGTGCACGGTTAGCGCTAGGTTGTTGTAGGGCGACAAGGTAGGTTGCTGAGCACGAGCTGCACCTTCCAAAGGAATGTTCCGAGAAAAAGTATCCCGCCCGTCAACCATCGTGTTCGACCAAGTCCTGAGCGCTACCGAGATTCCACGGTAATTCGTCCGCAAGAATCAACGGAAATGCATCTCGAGACAAATATTGCGTCAAGAAGCTGCATTTGGAGAATCTTGCAGAAACTTGGCGAATTTTGCTCGAAAGACTCAAATCACCTCGACTTCGGCGAAACAGACGATCAGCAGACACCTCCCATGCCAGCTGAAGAATTTCTCGAACGCCGAACAGGTGAATCGAAGCCGTTCGCGGAGAAGAAGATTGCCCAAACGGTCGAAAAGGCAAGACTCTCGGACTTACGTTTTTTCCCCCAAACGAACTGGCATTACGTTGGTACAGACCGCCATCCAAACTTAGCGATATCATGCGCGAAACAGATTTGTTTGCTTTCATGCGTGCGAACGCGACACCATATGTACCAACCGTAAGCGTAAGGTGTGTGGTACATTTTGGTGTTCGCAAGGGAGTATTGTAGATGAAATGTTCATCAACCTACTTCCGCATCACGGCAATCCCTGACGTCGGTACTCCGCCAGGGAGGGCCATCTTTTCATCAGGACGGAATAATAGACAATACCTCCCGGCCCTGCAGCAGGAGAATGTCCCTATCTAATGAAGCGGTTACCTCCTCAACCACAACACCGAAAAACAAAAAAAAACAACAATTGAACATCATCTGTCTTAACATCTGTCTGAACATCTGTCTTAACATTAACATCACAAACGGTACGGCGGGGCCATGACTCACCCCGATAGTCTCAAAGCTGGTGCCCGTCGGACCCACCCACTTCCAACACGCCACGTTGCGCTTCCCTGCAAGGCTCTTGTAACACCTCCTGATCCTCTCGTCGTGCTCCACTTCCCTCTCCACCTGGACGGGATCCGTCAAGCCAGCGAACGACGTCAAGGATGTTGTACAGCGTAGCCCCAAAGCACCAGGTGGCGGGCCAGCTTTGGTAGACACATGTATACACTGACACTCAGTGACGGTGACGGCGACGCTATCCACAACAGGAGGAGTCGTGCCATGTCCATCTGCATTCTGTATGCCACAAATGCAGAGGAATCACACCAATCGCATACCTACTGGGTGCGGCTACGGAGCACACGACCAAACCAAAAGGGTCAAAGAGCGACTGATTCGCTTGGAACGGTGGACCCAGCGACTATAATGGTCCACGAACTAAAGCAATACTTGTATTTCGCGTCGTGACACAAGAACATTTTTTAAAAACAAAAAACGAAAGCGCGACACAAACCGCAGCAACCTTCTCGAAACCGTTTGGCAAGGGAAAGATCCACGGCAACCAAAAGTATGCACATCGCACAACGCTTCTCAGAAAGTCCCATACAAGTACGAGGCTCCGGCCTCTGCTGAAAAATTACTCCGAGTCCTCCATAGCATCCACAAGAGATCGGGGATTGCCATACGTTCAGCGTTACGGCTCTACTCTCACCAAAGGCCAGAGGTCGGCGATGTGCCGATGAATGGTGGCCCGGTTTTTCGCTACCCTTTGCCTTGTCCAATCGGTCACGGAGGATTGGATGTGCGACACCTGGAAGGAATTGAACGGAAAAGATACATGTAAATCATCAAACGAATGACGAAAACATGCGCCACCTCGGAGCTCCAATGCTGGGCGCGAAGAGTGAAACGGCAGAGACTTTGTCAAGTGCACAGATGGCGAACCTCAAGTTGGTCTCTCAGCACGTAGCATCAGTCGTTTTTGCAGCTGGCCAATACCATGAGCGACAAGAACCATTCGCCCCTGATTATCCCAAGCCACCTTAACAAAGCACGTGGGGTGCTTTGTTCCATTGCAGCCTCTCGGAACACACAGCTGTGCCTGAAACAGGACAAACCGTTGCACTCAGGTATGTATGAAAAATATAACGGATAGATGCTGTACCGGTCAAGTCAGGACTGCTGTTGCACACAACGATAGTAGTATCGCATCGCGAGATGGCGAGAGTTCCACCTGCATGGCGGAAGAATCCTTGCTCGCGTTGTCCAGCAGAGTCTGGTAGCACACGTCGCGAATGGTGCACACCTAAATGAACACATGACATGACATGACATGACATGACATGCCATGCCGCACGGGGGGGGGGG